TCCTAGACCAGCAAAAACCCAGCACACCATCTACAAGTACCTGTTTTTTTTCCAGCAGCGCTAACATTGCATTTTTCCCCCATCTTTTCTCTCCGTCTTGTTTTCCTCCCCACCCTTATCAATCTCCCTGTCCCTCTCTCTTTGTCACTTACACAGACGGCAGATCAGTAAAGCCCATGTCCAGTGCTCTATTATTCAGAGGGCACAGGACAGACAGCCGTATGGCCACATGTCCCCCCTGCCTCTGTCCACCTACACAGTCCTAATTAAACAGACCTAGCCCATGGAGACACACCGCCGGCACACACACACACGTGATGTGAGAGAAATGCTCTCACAACAGGCATCTGTCGAAGCAGGCCTTGCTGTTTTTCTGTTCAGAACATTCTGGAATTAAGTATAAGCCAACGGCCGTGTTTAGTAATAAAAATTATGAGACGTTCATGCACACTGGGTATTAAGTGCGAGTGTGTGAGAGAAAGTTCTCTGTTCGACATGTCCTGATGGGTGAGATGTGTTCTGAAGTGACACACAAGCAGATGAATCCAGCGATCGCCCTTGGAGGCTGTCACATCAAAGTGAAACTAGAGACTACGAATACAGCCGAGACAGGATAAATGTGAACCTTACGACATCGCTGCTTTCAATTAGAAGTCAGATATCTGTTTACAACATATGCACGGCTACTCATAGCAACAAAACCTCTTCGCACGACACTTTACTAATTTTAATTTAATCCGCGCCTCATCTGCACCCTAAAATACCAGTCACATAGAGCATAAATATAAAATATTCTCAAACGAGAACAGAAAGGAAATGACAGCATAAGAACATTCAGGACTGTGAAATCTGGTCACAAGAGTAACATCAAATGTGACAATGTTTCCTAACCAGAGATAAGTAATTTTTCTGTCAACGCTAAGTGCATTTACAAGCACTTTAAAAAGATGATTTTAGTCAAAGTGTCATACAAACACTTTATGCGGACTGAAGTCAGAATAACAGACCTAGACAATGTAACATGTAAACAACATGTAAACGTATTTACTGAAATGTGTGATGTGACAATCACAGTCAATCAGAACATATGTGGAGCAGGATTTTGGACAAATGGGATTTCACAATGATACCTACAGTTTAGGAATAGAAACCCTGAAATGTCCTGTCTTCTGTTGCAGTTTCTGTTGGTTAGGTCACAAACTCAGATTAGCATGTAAGAGATTCCATTTAATCATTTTTAGCTTGATGTCATTGAGCCTGGCTAGGACATGGTGTGAGAGACAACAATATCTCATTCATACTTTACCAGAACAAAACAAGTCAACGTGAAACCTACCACAGACTTTGAGCATTTAAAACATCCAAACTTATGTGACAAGGATGTGTTAATTTACATCTAATGTTTATTAAATGTGGCCATTTTGCCTGTATGTCCTGTTAAGGTTATTCCAGTTATCCCAATATAACCCCCTTGTTCAATTTCTCTGTCTAGCTAAACAAGCTTGTATTACAAACTAATACACAACTATTATATTGAATAAACTATGGCAGACTGTGAGCATTTGTCACCAAAAAGTTTTTTGTCACTATTAAACATCCAAACCTACACTATCGTTGAAACGCTCAGGGTCGGTAACATTTTTTAAGTTTACTTAACATGTATGTACTTTATCCATGTGATGGCAAAACTGAATTTTCAACCATTATTTCAATCTTCAGTGATACATGATCCATCATACATTCTAATATGCTGATATGGTGCTCAAGAAACATTTCTTATTATAACCAACGCTGAAAACAGTTGTGCTTTGAATTTTTGTACAGTAGTGTATGTGCCATAAATACATTAAAGCTGTTCCAAATATCTCTCATACAAGATCCAATTATATTTATTTCCGTCTAGCAAAACAAGTCCATATTATAAACTGCCACAAAATAACTATGATAAATACCACAATAAAACTCCATTTAATAAAACACTGTCGACTTCAAGCATCTATTTGTCACCAAAAAGCCAATAAAACATCCCAAACATTTATGACAGGGCCATGCTAAATCTGATTTTCATTAAATGTGACTTTTTTTCTGTACTTCCTGTTAATCTGTTCCAAGTATATCGCAATATAATTTCCCGTTCAATTTCCCTGTGCCTAGGAGCTCAAAAGTCTTCAGGCGCTGCAGCAAGAACATCAGATGCAGCTATGTGCATGAAGAGAGTAAATATAAGACACAGCCATTGAAGTCCAGGCTTTCTGACAGCCCAAAAGCCATTTATCACTGTGACTAAAGCGTCCACCCCCAACCCAAAACCGGTAATCACACACACACACACACACACACACACACACACTCACAGACGTGCGGCAGACGGGACAGACTTGTGGCAGATGTGCTAGCCCACCTCCTGTCCTTTCAAACCCTTAAGCAGCACGGACACACACACACACACACACACACACAAATGCTTCTGGCACTAATCCAGTGGCCCCCTCCAAAGGAGGGACATTGAATGGTTAGGCAAATGGTTGTGTAGCTCTTCACACGGCTAACAGCTGAGCTCTAAGCTCTCCCAGAAGAGCCTCACCCCACAGAGCAGCTCCAGTCAGCTCTTTCCAGCCCACTGCTCTCAGACAACACACTCAGTGATTAAAGCAGTCCCACTGCCCTCCTAGTCCCACACACACACACACACACACACACACACACACACACACACACCCTGTGCCCCTGTCCCACACTGCTCGCAACACACACATGCAGAGATCACTCACAAAAAGGCACATGAAATCATCAAGGTTTTTGGACATGTACCATACAAAAAGAATATGATAAGATTTTAGTACTTTGGTGTATAAGAAGTGTGGTAATACCACAGTATTTTAGGACATGTACAGTGGTAATCCCATATATATATCACTGTATGTGAATATGATAATCGTTCAGCACTGTGGAATATATCAAATTGGCATGGTATTATCATGCTCTTTTGACATGGTACCAATGTATATGAATATGGTAATCTTTAAGCACTATGGAATATAACTATTAAAATGGTATTAGCATGTTATTACCATGGTATAACCATGTTTACATTGATGGTTAAGCACTGGCTCAAAATAAACCAGACCTGTACGCATATTTAAATTTTCATATGGTTCCTTAGTTATTTATTAGGATTGGAAGAGTCTATAAAACTTGGGCATGTGTTTGTTCTGTATTCTGTTTGTAATATGCGAGGATTTTGTATGAAGGATTTGTTACATTAGTATTTTTTGTACAGATAGTTATTTTGTTATAATTATTTTGGTTATTTATATATGTATTGATTTTTTAGAAAAGCCTTTCTAGGGACATGAGATGCAAATTAGCGCCTGCCATAATCTCTATGTGCAGTGCATTTTTTCCAGTCTTTGACTGGAATCATGTTTATTGTATTGTCCCTATCCAAATAAGCGTATAACTAAATAAATAAATACATGTTTTAGGGAACATATTATGGTATGTGGTAGATTTTTAAGTGAAATAAAAAAATATATATATGTTTTTGTTATATGAAATGAAGCTGAAATATTATAAAATATAAATATTAGATTAAAAAAACTCTTAAAAACTTCAAAAATAGAAATGTTGCCTGGGCAACTGAAAAAAGTTAAATTACTAAAATGACTAAAACGGAAAAAAATAAAATAAAATAAAGATGAATAGAAATAAAAAAGACAAAAGCGCATAAAATTAAGACTAAAATGAAACTGAAAATATAAAAATAAAATCTAATGCAAAATAGTATGAATTTTAAAATAGTATATAAATAATACTTAAACAACACAGAAAAAAGGTATTTCTATTGTACTTCAGGGCATTAAATCATGGTATTACCATGATTTTTGGGTATGGACCATAGTAATATAGTACATAGTACATAACATAACGGTTCAGTGATGGCATTCATGTACCATGGTGATTTTCCTAATATGTTTTGGTACTGTGATATATCAAAGTACCATTACCATGATATCTTTGATATGTACCATGATAACATCATGATAAAATCTTTCAGTACTATCAAAGCGCCACAGTATGACCATGGCTTTTTAATATCATGGATTTTGTTTTACAAGTAAAATTTGTAAATGTAAAAAAGTACAACCGCATTACCATCTGATATCACCACTGTACCATGACACCACTACAGTACTTCTTTGAAAGAGATGCCCCACTGCCCTCAACACAAAAACACACAGTCTGTTCCATAAACATTCCCCCACTGGAAACACACAACCACACGCGTGCAAACAGACACATGCAAATCCACAAGCCGCGCGTGCACACAAACACAAGGGACACAATGAAAAGCATTCAAATCTGCTCCCCGGACTAAGAGTCAGCCAGCGCTGTGGGAACGCTTCCTCTGAACACCAAACCAGAGGAAAGAGAAAGACAAACGATAGCCGTGACGCACAACTCTGGGAGGAGAAGATCCAGCCATCCTCTAATCACCTTATATGATCGCGCACAGCAGCTGAGAAAACAAGAGCCACGGGTTCAGGTGAAAATACTTCTCTTTCCAACCCACACAAGCACACTATCCTCAAGAGCAGGACCCGGGCGCCGTTCCTATGACCCCACCGCTGCATTCGGGGTCTCAAACCTGCTCCCTTGAGCTCAGAAAGTATTTAAAGTGTGGAAATCCCAGGTTTAGAAACATCACAGGCAGCTGTAACATCCAACACAAAGAAAAGACTGTATCCCTGCTGAGTATCCTTGCCAGGGTGGATCAAACCTCAATTAGAGGATCAAACCTCTATTAGAGGAATAAAAGACAACGGGGAATGCCAGAAAGCGGGAGCTAGAAAGAAAGAGTGCACATGAGGTAACCCAAACAGCCTAAAGCAAGAAGGGAAGGCACGAAAAATCACAGGATAGTTTCCTCACACAAGTAGACACACATCAAGTTCTTCAATACGCTCAAACACACACAAACGCATGCCGCTTACACCGACCCGGTTGCGATGGTCTCCCCGGCAGAACTCCCCTGTTGTTGCCCGTTCAGGGAAAAAAACGCTGGAATAAAGGACGAAAGGAGCTCCTCTCTTTGTGAGAAGAAGCGCACACTAGTTCTTTCTCTTTTCTCTGTGTCTCCCTGCTGAGGAAGGAGAAAAGAAGCTTCTCC